TTGTCAACTAACCAGTAGTCCCCATACCCCGTCCAGTATGAGCGGCAATAATACCATCCCTGTCTGGTATGAGGGTGAAATGAGCCGTCCTCATACCCCGTCCGGTATGAGCACCAAAATACTAATTCTCAATACCTCGTCCGGTATGTGGCGACGTTCACGATAGGGTTTCCTATGTGCCCGGTCTGTCCATCATCTCTCAAGATATCTAGTAAGACAATCGTTTCATTCATTCATTTAACCAAGTAATTTTCCGTTTACATTTAATTTTCAATTTCACAATTTAACTGTAAATCACGCAAGACAAGCAATACATACATCAAGGAAATATAACTAAATTATCTTACCAATTCCAGTGTATTATCATGCATTTAAAACTGTAAAATCAAACAATCAGTTAAAACAGGACAAACAGTAATAAATAATCGGTTTCGGCTCCATTAGTAACTTATAATTAATTGTCGAAATTTTCTAAATTACGCAAAATATTGTATTATTTATAATTATATTTCAATTCTATAAAAGGAAATAACGTGAGAGATTCTTACCCGAAACGGTGTCCGAAATACTAAACTTTCTACTGCGCCTACTAGCGGTCCCCAGGTTTTGTTGAATTTTTCGGTGGAGATTAAAACACACTTCACGTATCTAAAAATACCCCAAAAAATCTAAAATTGGTGTTAAAAATATTTTCTGACTAATTTTGAAACTCCGACATGGCGGCACCGATCTGCTCTGGCGACAACACCGCTGCCTATGGTGGCGGTTTGCCTCGAACTGGCTGTTTTTGGCAAGTTTTGGCTAGTTTTGGCTGGTTTTATACCCATTCCTGCAAGAAAACATGTTAAGGGATATCGGTTGTCCGAAAAAAGTCGAAAAATAACAGCTTACCAATGATGAAATTTTTTGGTGCGGTGGCTCCGCTGGTTCACCTTCACGGCTGCGGATTTTTCTTCGCTGTAGAAAATAGAATAGTGAACACAATAGTGGAAAAATCGCACAAAACGGGAAACAGGAAGGGGTTCATCGAGGGCGATTTTTGATTTTTTTCGCAGCGACACCGCTGGAATTTACCCTTAGTTTTCGGCTCATTTGTCGTTTCTTTTGCTCCGATTTGGCATGGGGGTATTCAAAATCAAATTTCGAGCAAAAAAGAGAATTTTTTCCTTCTTTGGCGGTCGGAGGTGGCTGCAACACGACGGTAGGTGGTGGTCGGCTCCCTTCTCTGGCGACTGGTTCTTCTTCTCCAACGAGGGGCTAGCGGTTAAGGTTTGAATTCGATGTGAAGTGAGATATTTATACATATCTTCCTTAAATCTGAACCGTTCATCGTATTTGATCTCGACCATCCGATCGTGTTTAAAGAGGAAATGAATATGAACCGTTCATCGCGATTTGATCTCGACTGTACAATCGCATTAAAAGAGAGAATGAATTTAGACTGTTCATCGCGTTTAATCACAACCGTTGGATCGTGCTTGAAGAGAGAACGGATCCAGACCATCCACGCACACGGGAACGCATTTAGGCCGTTCGATCGCGGGCATGAAGATTGCCAGCGTGGCACTTAGTCAGCGTGTCTTGCCACGTGGCGCGCTACGATTCATTCGGACTGCTGACTGGGCAGTCCTACATGGTGCATTTTTCCTTAATTGAGTTTTGACCCCCAATTTCTGATTGTTCTTTCAAAAATACTTCCCGAACCCAAATTTTTATCTCTTTTTTCTAAAATTATTTTTAATTTCATCTTTCACCTATTTTTTTTCTAATTTTTCGTTAAATAAAAATTTATAAATTTAAGCATTATATATTATATATTTTTTTAATTTAAAATAATTCGGGCCCAAATTTGTGTCCGCATATTACAACTCTTACCCCGTTAAAAAAAATTGGGTTCCTCAAATTTATTCATCTCTCACTCAATCAAACAGTTGGGGATATTGGCTCTGAAGTCTGATTCTATCTCCCATGTGACCTCTCTCTGTGTGTGATTTTTCCATAGGACCTTAACGAAGAGAATTTTTTGATTGCGGAGTATTCTACTCTTTTGGTCCACAATACCCACCGGTACCTTCTCGTATGACATATCCTCATGGAGTGAAAGAGTTTGTGAGCAAAGATGTGAGAGGGGTTCGGGTTGTACTTGTGTAGCATGGACACATGAAACACATTATGGACCTTGAATAGTTCTGGAGGTAGTGTCAGTCTGTAGGTGGCGGTGTCAATTCTGTTTAAGATTTTAAATAACTCAATAAACTGAGAATTTGGTTTCCTCCTCTTACCAAACCTACTGATTCCCTTAAAAGGAGTGACCTTAAGGAACACCTGATCACCTATCTCGAATTCCAAATCCTTCATCCAGGTATCCGCATAACTTTTCTGTCTGCTCTGAGCCGTCTGAATGTTCTTCTTGATCTTAACTATTTTGGTTGTAGTCTCTTCCACAAGATCTGGACCAAACAATTTTCTATCACTCACCTCTTCCCAACAGATAACAGCCCCAGAAATTCATAATGGAATGTATATTAAAAATATCAAATGCGGAAGCGAAGTCAAAAATTCGATTAACATCCCTTACACTAAAACCAAAAACGTGCTCACAATATAAAAGATTAAACTACCTAAAGGAGAAACTTGAAAGTAAAAGCTACAAATATGACTATAGAGTCTTTAGGCGTCCCCTTCGTCGTCCTCCTGCGGAACCGGCTTGGGAACAATGTCTTCCTGATCTGAAATGATTAAATAAGGAATGAGCTACACTAGCCTAGTAAGGACATCATGATATCTCACCGTCACGGAGGTAAAGGTGGGTAGAAAACACAAAAAGACCAATGGAGCATAATTTGCAATAAAATCTTTTATCAATAATAAAACCTTTACCATTCACTTACCCGGTGAAATTCATAAAACAATATACGAAAACTATAACATCATTATCATCATGAAATCATGTATAAACTATATAACGTAATACTTATCAAGCCTTTCAAAATTCAATCGTTACACAATATATTTTCCTCATTTACCAGCCCACTAGTATCCATGGGGATCCATAGGGGTCCCGCTACCCGTTAAGCCTTAACACTTGAAATCATATTACAGGGCCGTCCCCATACCCCGTCCGGTATGGGCGCCAAAACCATAAACCTCATTACCCCGTCCGATATGAGGGTGAAACGGGCCGTCCCCATACCTCGTCCAGTATGGGCGCCAAAATACATAAGATCTTCATACCCCGTCCGGTATGGGAGACCACAATCCCGGTAGGGTTCCCTACGGACCCGGTCCGTCCACTATCTCCCAGGATATCTAGTCAGACTGACCACATTATACAATTACCCATTTACATAATCTTTCATTCCCCTTTTCCTCAGTCAGCATTATCAATACACATACAAACAAGCAAGAGGATAATTTATGGCAAACAGACAACATACAGTATCAATATCCCAATCATTCAATCCATAGTCAGTAAAATAGTAAAATATGCACACAAAACTATAAAATGAAAACATCAAACCTCATGCTGTATTTAAAACTGTAAAACAGGACAAATAACAGTTAACCGACAAATACACTAGACTCGGGCTCCATTAGCGACCTTAAGCAATTTCACACATTCGTTGATTCATGAAATAGCGTTTTATCATTTATTGAACTTTAAGACCGTGATAGGAAATAGGGTGAGGGGTCCTTACACGTTTCGGGGTCCGAACACGGCTTCACAGTGCGCCTACAGGCTGTCCCCAATTTTCCCTGAATTTTTCCCGGAGAACTGAAACGCACTACTGGTACCTGCACATGTTCCAAAAAATCCCAAATTAGGCCC